GCCCCGTCAGGGCTCCACCACCCACCCCACGCTGCTCCCGGAGCCCCCCCGCCCCGCCTTGCCCCAGGGCCACAAAGGGAAGACAGACACGTTTCTATTTACAAAGTATATATTTAAACTCACATAAAAAGCAGGTCTCATATGGACATTCACGGCTGGCAGAAGACACGTAGTTAAGCTTCACTTCTGAGACTGAGATTTAGCCAAATCGGTTTTTGTACAAGTCTTAGATTTAAATAATTCACGCACACACACCCCCACGCACACACACTCAGTATATACGTCGCTATATACATACACACATATACACCCACATGTATGTTTTGCTCCATATATGCGTGTGTCTGGACACACACGTATACACAGGGCTGGAGCGAAGCACACCAAATCCCGACCGCGTCCCGGCGGGGCAGGAGCGCGGCTCCGGGCTCTTCCGCAAAGGGAGGCATCCTCCAGCCTTGGCATGGCGGCAGCGGGAGGACGGGCAGCTCAATCCCATCATCGTCCCTCCAACAACACACGCGTCCCATGTTGGTTGCCCCCGCCACCAGCACCAAAACCAGCACGTCGCTTCTTCGTACAAACCAAGTTAAAAATCTCCATTTTACAAAATATGCCTTAAAAAAAAGAAGAAAAACAAAAAAAAAAAAACCACAACAAAAAAAAAATCCAGAACTCGCAGACACGGCTCCCTTTGTACAGTCAATACAGCATCCTCCCGCTAGGCCATCTGACAAAGGTCCCAAAAGAAGGATGGGGAAGGAGACGGCGCAAGGTGGAACCCAACAGCCAAGGGCTGCTCCTTGCCCCAGCCCCTTCCCTGCCCGTCAGGCCCCGTGTGCTTTCACCCCCTGAACCGGGAGCCTTCAGGAGCTCGGCTGGGGCAGCCGGCGAGGAGGGACGGGGGTGACCTGGCCCAGCCCCGGCCCTCGGGCGCTGCCAGAGGTATTTGTGCTTTCCAACCCAGAGAGATGCTCAGACCAACGCGTCAGGACGGGGACACCTGCTCCACCTCAACCGAAATCACAACAGGGGTGACGGTCCCGCTCCCCACCCGGGTCAGGCTGCAACCGAGCTGGGGGAGAAGGAGGGAGCAGAGCGGGGGGCCACAGCCCCCCTGGCCGCTGCTCAGCCCGGCGGGGAAACCACTGCACTTTGTTCAGAGCCACGAAACCCCATGGCCGTGCCCTGCCCCAGCCCACGGAGAAAGACAGCAGGGTCCTCCAGAGCCAGGAGAAATAAGACAGGCAAATAAACCACAAAAAGCCACCCGAGTCAGCAGGGCTGCTCGCGCACCGGAGTATTTCGCCTCTTGGCTATTGTTTAACTAGCGTAAGAAAAGGGAAATATTTATTGTCTCTGAATGCATAAAGGTGGCTCTGGGATTTGTCAGAGATGTGGATATTAGAAAACACTTTATCTGGAGTCTTCCAACAGTCTGAAGTGAACTGTGTTGGGGAAAAAAAAACAAAACAAAACAAAAAAAATAATAATCCACTTTCTATAGCGGTATAAAGCATCTAAATATGGGCAGTGACATGCTACCCTCCCAAACCTCTCTGGCATTTCAGGAATGTAAACAGAGGGGGGGGTTGTTGGCTTTTTTTTTTTTTTTTCTTTTTTCTTTTTAAAGTGGGTGGGGGAACAGAATCAAGCGACCAGACAAAATGAAAACAGATTCTCAGCTCAGTCCCATCTCCCACAACTGCTACGACAACTCTATTAAAGTGCATTTCAGTATCACCCCTCTCAGGAACCTTACACACACAAACCTCCTCTTCCTTCGCAAGAAAAGGTAATTCAAGTTAATACTCCGCTAGAACAGTTTTAGCCTTTTTATGGATTTCTGCTTTTCCCCGCCCCGACTTTGTAGCAACACTATTTTTTTTTTTTGTTAAACTGGAAACATCCCCTCGCCAACAATACTGTAAATTCAAGTGCTTACTTCAACTGTCAAGGGCAACAGTTCTGGATACAGCACACTTGATTGTACAAGCAACACCTTATATCACAATCAAGAAATCAGGGCACTTTGCCCTCCGAGGGAGTAACGCTGCCTCCCTCCACCATCCATAGCATCATATGAAAAATAATAGTTAAAAAAACCCATAACATAATTAGCTATGAACATCGTTCATTATGTACACCGGCTCCTGCAAGAGATGCGTGAACTCCGTTAGTTCTCAGTTTTATTGTCCTTTCTAAGAGCAACTGAGCAGTCACTGTTGTCTCCATTTAAATAAAACAACTCACAGTTGAAATATATATATATAGATATATATAAGCATTTTTTCTTAAATAACATATTTACATCTAATAGAAAATATAACTCTAGAGATAATCTTTCCAACGAAATGTAAGACGTGGAAAAAAAAAAAAAAAAAAAGAAAAAAGAAAAAAGAAAAAAAATAAAGAAAAAAAAAAAGGCCCACCAAGCTCTAACCAAGCTTTTGTCTGGATCTGACCGAAGAAAACCCCAGCACCACCTCCGACAAACTCATCGCTTCTCTTTAAAGAATCCTTGGTCCGTGCTGCTCTCCTTGATGGTGACGGTCAAAAAGTTAGAGGTCACATCAGTTACCACCACCTTCTCCAGGTTGTTGAGCGAGGGGCTCCAGGACTCCTCCTCGGGGTCCCCCAGGATCCTGGAGACGGGGATCCTGGCGATGAGGGAGGGCCGCCCCGCCTGACCCCCCATGCCGTCGCGGTACAGGCTGCCCACGGTGCCCGGGCTCACCGCGCCGTGCAGGAGCTTGGGCCCGCCGGGGTCCAGGCCCCCCTGCCCCTTGGGGTCCAGAAAGTCTGCCCGGTGCTTGGCCAGCCGCGGAGGGTAGCTCTCGGCAGCTCCCAGCTTGGCACCCACCTCGGCTCGGTTGGGGCCGGGCAGGGCGCCGGGGAGGTCGGGGTCCTGCCGCCTGGCCAGCTGGATGACGCTGTGTCCCGAGCCGAACTTGGCTGCCCCCGCCGCTGCCTCCTCCATCTTCCTGGCCTTCAGGTAGTCCCCCACCTTGTCCCCCGGGTCCCCCAGTTTCCTCTTGGAAGCATCCAGAGTCTCCGCCAGGTCCTTGTAAAGCTCCTTCCTGGGCTTCGGGCCTCTCTTTTTGGGGGTCTCCCCGGGCTTCTCCTCCACGCGGATCACCCGGTCCCGGATGCTGTCTCCCTTGGGGGTGCTGGTGCTGGAGCTGCCCTGAGGAGCCAGGGCTATGTTTCTCAGTCCTTCCCTAGCCCGAGACGTGGAGCCCAGCTCCTGGGCGGACCTGCCGGGATACGGCACCCGGATCCCCCTGGAAGAGTCACTGCGGAATTCATAGGTTTTGGCTTTTGCTTTTGCCTGGGCCTGCAAAGAAAATAAATCAACCAGTGACTTTATTATCCTGCCATCCAGCTGCATAATTACAACTTACAAGGCAAGAGGCCGCCTTTGCGAGGAGCATCCTCCATGGGGGCCGGAGAGGGACCCGCTCCCCGCTGCGGCACGCAGCCCTGGCCGGCACCGGCGCACGCGGGGCTTCGGCCTCCTTACCTTTAGCAGGAAGGTTTTGGGCTTGGGGCCTCGCTTTTTGGGCCCGTATAGCTCCATTTCTCGCTCCCTAGAGGTGTTAAAAAAACCAAAGCTTCAATTCAGCATAGCTACAAGACAGCAACATATTTACAAGCGCAACGGCTATGGCTAGCAAAGGCCTTGTACCTTTCCTCAAAGGCTGCGAGCAGCCGGGCATCCAGGATGTTTTCCTCGGGTTCCCAAGTGCTGTACCTGGGGAGGGGGGGGACAGAGAGGGGGAACAGCATGAGGAGCCAGAAATGGTAAGAAATAAACCAAATTCAAAATAGGGGGCATAAAGGAAAGGACCCAAGTTTCCTTTCTACTACAATGGGAGAGCAGGGCTGCAGCGAGCCATCTCCCCACCGCTCCCCGGCTGCAGAACCCTACGGACAAACGGCCGACTTACTTCTGAGACCAGCCCTTCCATTTTACGAGATATTCCATGCGCCCCTGCAGATGCAAAGAGGAAAAATAAATATGCATGGAGGGAAACCGCGATAAACGCCCGCAACAAAGCTGCACCCGCAATTCCACGCGTGCAACAAACGCGGGCCCGCGGCGCGT